GACATTTCATTAAATACCAATAAAATTTCATAATAAAAGAAATTAAAACTAACTGAAATACTCTTTCTTACCTATCACAAAAATCAGAAAGGATATAGAAGATTGGAACAAATGAATAACCAAATAGACCTAATTGACATATATAGAACAGGCACCCAACAAGTGCAGACTACATACTCTTTAAAAGTTCCCATGGAACATTTATGAAAACACACCATAACCTAGGCCATCGAGTCTCAAAAAGCTCCATGGGATTGAAATCATACAGAGTTTGTTCTCTGAACACAGTGAAATTAAACAAGAAATCAAAAAAAAAAAGCTAACTAAAAAGTCTTTAGGCAAATAAATTTGACAACTCATATGAAAAAGACAAATTCTTTGAAAAACACACATGAGAAAAAGAAAATACAGATAATCTTATAACCGTCAGAGAAACTGAATCCCATTTTTTAAAAGTCCCACAAAGAAAGCTCCACTAATTTAGAATAACTAATACATTCTTGCAAACAATTAAAAAGAAATCATTCCAATCATATACAAACTCTTTCAAAACATAGAGAAAAGAGCCAGCCCTGATGGTCTAGTGGTTCAAGTTCAGTGCTCTCACTGCTTTGGTGGCCCGGGTTCATTTTCCGGTCATGGAACCACACCACCCATCAGTCAGTTGCCATGCTGTGGCAACGGCTCACATAGAAGAACTAGAAGGACTTACAACTAGAATATACAACTATGTACTGGGGCTTTGGGGAGGGAAAAAAAACAGAGAAAAAAAATCCTCATTTTATGAGGCCAGCCATAACATGATTCCAAAACCTGAAAAGAATATTGTAAGAAAGGAAAATCAAAGCCAATCTATTACATGAACATAGATGTAAAAATCTTAAACATCAGCAAATCCAATCCAAGAGAATATAAAAAGATAAAAACTTACAACCAAGAAGACTTTATGCCAAGAAGGGAACACTCAAAAATTATGCAGAAATTTCATCATATTTAACAAAATAAAAGAGAAAAACCCATATCTCAATGGATGCAGAAAAGCACTTAATGATATTCAATACCCACTTATAATAAAAACTATCAGCAATCTAAAATTAGAAGAGAAATTCCTCAATCTGATAAAGAGTATCTGAAAATCCTACAGCTAACAGCATACAGAATGGTGAAATATTTAATCCTCTCCCTCTAAAGTCAGGAACAAAGCAAGGACGTACACTATCACCACTTATATTGAACACTGCACTAGATGTCATAGCCAGTATAATAATGCAAGAAAAAATGAAAAATTTAAATACTGGAAAGGAAAAAGCAAAACTGCCACTATTCACAGGTGATATGATTGTGTATATAGAAATTCCAAGGAAATCTATTTTTTTAATGCTAGAATTAATAAGTTAATTTATCAAGGCCAGTGAATACAAGGCCACTATATAAAACTCAACTGTTTCTAAATACAATAAAACAATTAGATATTGACATTTTAAATAAATATACTTTACAATAGCATCAAAAAATACTAGACATCTAGAATAAATCTAATAAAATATATACAAGATATTTATACTGAAAACCATAAAACAGTGCTGAGAAAAAAATGAATAATATATATATACATGTTCATGGACTGGAAGACTCAATATTAAGACATCAATTATCCACAAATGGTTCTATGCATTCAATGCAATACCAATCAAAATCCCAGCAGGGTTTTACTATGTACATTAAGAAGTTGATTCTAAAAATTTTATGAAAATGCAGAAGACCTAGAATAGCCAATACAATCTTTAAAAAAAGGAAGTTGGAAGTCTTATATTACCAGATATCAAGAATATAAAAATTTATATTCTTAAATATAAAGAATATAAAGCTACAGTAATCAAAACAGTGTGGCACTGGCAATAAATAGATCAATGAACTAGAATAGAGTGTACAGAAACAATTACACATACGGTCACCTGATTTGCCAACACAATTCTGTGAGGAAAGATTTGTTCCTTCCATTGACAATGGCAACGAACCATTTGGATACTCAAAAGAGGAAAAAAATTAATGTCGGCTTCTATCTCACATATACTAAAATTAATCTGAGCCTGATAACAGAGCTAAATGTGAAGGGTAAAAAACAATAGAACTACTAAAAGAAAACGATGGAGAGTATCTTCATAACTTTGGGTAGGCAAAGATTTCTTAAACAAAATACAAAAGGAATTAACTATAAAATAAAAGGTTGGTAACTTACAGTTCATTAGAATTAAAAACTTCAGTTTATCAAAAGACAGCATTAAGAGAGTGAAAAGGTGAGTCACGGACTGGGAGGAGATATTCACAATACACGTATCTGACACAGGTATGTATCTAAAATATATAAAGTACTCTAACAAATCAATAATAAAGATAATCCAATAAAAAATATGCAAAAGTGGGGCCGCCCCATGGCACAGTGGTTAAGTTCAGCATGCCCTGCTTCGACAGCCCAGGTTCACGGGTTCAGATCCTGGGCACGGACCTACACCATTCGTCAGCCATCCTGTGGCAGTGACCCACATACAAAATAGAGGAAGACTGGCACAGATGTTAGCTCAGGGCTAATCTTCCTTAAGCAGAAAAAGAGAAGGATTGGCAACAGACGTTAGCTCAGGGTGAATCTTCCTAAAGCAAAAAAAAAAAGCAAAAGACTTGAACACACGCTGCACAACAAGGATATCTAAATGTCCAATAAGCATATCAAAAGGTTCTCAGTAGCATTAGACACCATGGAATCTCAAATTAAAACAATAATACCACTGCACACATATCAAAGTGACTGAATTTTAAAAAGAATAACAATACCAAACATTGGCAAGGATATAGAGTAAGTGAAATGCTCATATACTGCTGGTGGGAGTAAGGCTTGTAACAACTGTTTTTGAAAACTGTCTGGCAGTTATCTACTAAAGCAAAGCACATACACACCTAAACTTATCATTCCAAATCCTAGGTTTATACCCAAGATAAATAAGTACATATGCCTACCAAAAGACACATAAAAGAATATTCACTGGAGCTTTTTCACAACAGTCAAAAACTAGAAACTATTCAAACATCCACTAAGGAGAATATATAAATAAGTTATTATACATTTATGTAATAAAATACTACTAAATAATAAAAAGGAAAAAACTACTGAGACCCAAAACATTTATCAATCACACAGGCTAAGCAATAGAAACGCTTAGCCTGCTAAGCAATAGAAACCAGACACAGAGATGTATAATTCCATTTATATGAATTTCAGGAACAGGCAAATTTATCTATGATGCCTAAAGTCAGGATTAGGGGAAAGGTGGGGTAGCAGTAGGGTACAAGAGGTATGGACTAGGAAAAGGCATAAAGACCCCTTCTGGGATTATGGAAATGTTCTATAGTTTCACATGAAAATGTTTTATGTCTTGATCTAGGTGGTGTTTTACATGACTATACACATCTAAAAATTCATGAAGCTTTACACTTGAAATCTGTGCTTTTCATGTATATTTTGCTTTAATAAATGAATTGTAAAGCATTACATATATCTTATATGTACTGACATGGAAAAAGTCTCCAAGACATCGCACTTAAAGAAAAAAAGAAAGTTTCATAATAATATATACATTTATTTTTTTAAAAATGTGCAAAACTATGTTTCTATTGCATAAAAATATAGATAATGTGCACTGTGTTTTACTGGTTAAACCCCCCAAGGAGAGAGGGATGGGAAGGAAAGATTTGCAACATCAAAGGTAAATTTTATTTATATTATTTGAATTTTTTAACAATAAAAATATATTATTTGTGTATTTCAAATAATTGAAAAAGTACCTGAACATGCTAACTCACATTTTAACTGTCTGTACCTCTTGAGCGGATGGAGGAAAATGACCAAACTCTACCAAAGACTTGGACATAAGTCATTTCACTGTTTTAAAATTATTTGTATCTAAGATTTCATGTTTTAAATTTGGTAAAACAAAAAATGTTTGTTTTCAACTATTCCAAGCAAAAATGGTGGAAAAGATTGGACTAAGTCTTTAGGAGGCATGAAATGGTAATATTCATAGTTTTGCAAATACAGATAGTGCATTATAATGTCCACATACCACTAAGTGCTCCAACAGCTCCAAAATTTAAGGATTTTCCATCCATTATGCTGGCATCACACTCAATTTCACCCAAGAGATTTAGATTAGATCCCATTCCTGCATTTGTAAAAGGAGAATCCTAAAAGATAAAAACAAAAATTAAAATACCATTAGTCTTAAAGAAAATTTAATGTCAATCCTTCATAAACTGTTCCCAAAACTAGAAACAACACTTCCCAACTCATTGTATGATAACAATACTACTGTGATTCCAAAAGAAAACAAAGACATTACGAGGAAAAAAACCTACAGACCATTATACCTTGTGAATATTGACACAAAAATCCTCAAGGAAATATTAGCAAACCAAATTCAGCAAAACATAAAAGGATTATACACCAGGAACAAAAGAGATCTCAGGAAAGCAAATTTGGTTTACTATCTGAAACTCAATGTAACAAACCATGTTAATAAAATAAAGGACAAAAAAAGTGATCGTATCAATAGACACAGAAAGAGCATTTGAAAAAATCCAAAACTCTTTCATAAGAAAAACACTCAAAAAACTAGAAATAGAAGGGAATTTCCTTAACATGATAAAGAGCAGCTATAAAAAGTCCAGAGCTAACATTACAACTAATCATGAAAGACTGAATGTTTTCCCCTAAGATCAGGCACAATACAGCAATGTTGACTCTCACCACTTCTATCCAACATTATGCTGGATATTCTGGACAGGACAATTAGGCAAGTAAAAGAAATAAAGTGCATCTACACAGGAAAGAAAGAAGTAAAATTATCTCTATTTGAAGATGTCATGATCTTGCTGTATACAAAAAATCCTAAAGACTCCACTAAAAAACTATTAGAACTAATAAGTTCAACAGGGTTGCAAAAACACAAGATCAATATATAAAAATCAATTGTATTTCTAGACATTAGCAATGAACAATCCAAAAATGAAATTAAGAAAACAATTCAATTTACAATAACATCAAAAAGAATAAAATACTTAGGAATAAATTTAACAAAAGAAGTGTACGACTTGTACACTGAAAACTACAAAACATGTTGAAAAAAAAATTAAAGAGGACCTAAATAAATGAAAGGACATCTATGTACATAGATCAGAAAGCTTAATATCTTCAAGATGGCAATACTCCCCAAATTAATCTGATTCAACACAATCCCCACAATCCCCAATCTGATTCAACAAATCCTAGCTGCCTTTTTTTGCAGAAATTGACAAACTAATCCTAAAATTTATATGGCAACGCAAGGGACTCAGAATAGCCAAAACAATCTTGAAAAGAAAAACAAAATTGGAGGGCTCACACTTCCAGGTTTTATAACTTACTACAAAACTACAGTAATCAAGACAGTGTGATATAGACATATAACTAAGGATGAACCTATAGATTGATGCAATAGAATTGAGAGTCCAGAAATAAGCCTTACCTTTATGGTCAATTCAACAAGGATGCCAAAACAACTCAATAAAGAAAGGATAATCTTTTCCAGAAATGGTGCTGGGATACTAAATACCCATATGCAAGAGAATATCTGAGTCACAAGTCTCAGTCAATCCAGAAAATTAACTCTGTTCTAAGGTAAGACCAATATTACCTAGGAAACCAGGGCAATTCTGGATCAACCTAAAGATCACTAAATGCCCGAAATCACCTACCAACGTCCCTAGTTTCGTGGATTTCTGCCAGACCCAAGGAAAACCGACTGCAACATTAAGACCTTCTTAATATGTCCCTATAACCTGAGCACAGGGGCCAGGGATTTGAGACCAGGACTTTTGTCCTAATGCAGTTAGACAATCTAATTGTCCACAGAATTTTAAAAATACGATCAAAGGGTGGAAAATAACAAAAGGGTTGTATAATTAAATAGAAAATGAGTGATACAGACAATAAATACTTTGAGGACTCAAAAGGAAATGGCCGAATATGAGATGAAGAAGTTAACAGGCTTCTTGAAGGATATAAAACAAGAGCAAAAACTAGTCAGGAGGCTAGAAAATTCCAGTTGGTGGACATGATGTGAGCAACATGTAGGCAGTGGGAAAGTGTCAGAGTCACAGAAGACACATTCAGCCCAAAGGGCTGGCTGGAGCCAATTACGGAGAGCTGCCCCATGCCACTCATCAGAGCCTGGACTTGATTTGGAAAACAGTGATACGCCAGTCAAGCTTTCTGTACAAGAGAAAGTCAAGATGGGTATAAGGAAACATAAATTGACATTCATATATTGTATGAAAAGAAAGCGGAGGAGACTGAAATCAGAGAGAACAAATTGGAGGCTATTTTACAATGCAGGCTTGAAATATTGACCTCTTAGTGTGGAATGATAGCAGTAGGAAAAGAAAAGAAGAAAGAAAAAGAAAAGGACCAGAATTTTCAAACTTGGGAGATAAATAAAACTATTACTTTAAAAAGGCATTTTATAAAATGGAGGGAAGAGCGTGCATAATTAGGCATGATGAGTTGGAAAAAGGCCTTCTCAGTGAATATTCTAGCTAAATCAAGTTCACAACTAAATCTTGGGAAAGAGATTACATTAAAGAAAGATTATGGCTTAAAAGAGATGAAGACTTGGGGCCGGCCCCGTGGCGTAGTGGTTAAGTGCCCGCGTTCCGCTGCTGGCGGCCCAGGTTCGGATCCCGGGCGCGCACCGACGCACCGCTTGTCAGGCCATGCTGTGGCGGTCTCCCATATAAAGTGGAGGAAGATAGGCACGGATGTTAGCCCAGGGCTAGTCTTCCTCAGCAAAAAGAGGAGGACTGGCATGGATGTTAGCTCAGGGCTGATCTTTCTCACAAAAAAATAAATAAAAAAAGAAAAGAGATGAAGACTGAATTCTTGCCCTGGTTTATTTCATATATTAAAAAGCATAGGGCCAGCCCCGTGGCTCAGCGGTTAAGTGCATGCGCTCCACTGCTGGCGGCCCGGGGTTCGGATCCGGGCACGCACCAACGCACCGCTTCTCCAGCCATGCTGAGGCCGCGTCCCACATACAGCAACTAGAAGGATGTGCAGCTATGACATACAACTATCTACTGGGGCTTTGGGGGGAAAAAATAAATAAATAAAATTATTTAAAAAATAAATCAATAAAAATAAAAAGTATAAAAATCCAGGTCAGAAGTCTCTATAGCACAGAACAGAGAGATTGTAAGTACAAGTAAATTACCACCATATTACAAGAGGTTTTTTTTACACTCCATAACCTCCCTTCCCTAATCACGTAAATCCTTCAAAGTATGCAAGAAAGGAAGTGAAATGTGAGAAAAATGTAAAGCATCCATATTTAGTAATTCCCAAAATACACATACTAGATCACAATAGTATATACACTATCTCAACAATCTTTGAAATGGGATATATCAGCTAATCATTAGCTCTACAAAATTAATTTCAACATAATATCAAGTTAGAAATCACAAACCGAACAAACTAATAAGCTATTCTAAAAATGACTCTTGCATGATGGTTTAAATTTGACATTTTAAAAACACATAAGAGGGTCCAGCCCCATAGCCGAATGGTTAAAGTTCCACGCACTCCACTCGGTGGCCCAGGTTCACGGGTTCAGATCCCAGACGTGGACCTACTCTACTCACCAGCCATGCAGTGGTCGTGTACCACATATAAAATGTAGAGGAAGACTGGCACACATACTGGCTCAGGGCTAATCTTCCTCAGGTGAAAAAAAAGGAAGATTGGCAAGGATGTTAGCTCAGGGCAAATCTTCCTCAGCAAAAAAAAAAAAAAAAAAATACATAAGAAAACTAAAGGATATCCAAGAAGCAATTTTTTTTCAAAAATATTTCTACTTCAAAATACATTTCGAACTTCAAAAGTGTATCTACTGAACTTCTGCTTCTGACTATGAAGGCATAATAAGGATATTTGTCCTCCTAACTAGAAAATCAGACAAAATATATGAAACAGACTTCACTCAATAGCCAGCCCAGGACTGTGATCCTGAGAGAAGAGACACAAGTCAGGTGCTTCAACTTAATTCCTAAGAGATATTTTCCAAGCCACAGTACAGGGAAGAGAAACCCAAAAAGGAACCAATGTTCTTCCAGAGTTGAGAAGACAAAGTTATGAATTCAAGGAGGCCAGAAAGGCTAGAATATGCAGCACAGGGCATAAAGAGGAGAGAGCTACACACAGAGAGCTCCAGAGACCCATAGGCACCTTGAGTCCTTAAATAAGTATTAGTCCACACATACTTGTGAGGAAACTACCAAGGCCAAAGACAGAACCTCTGGAAAACAGTAAGCTGAACAATTTCTGGAGCTCACACAGAGATGGGAACAGCTCATGTTCCCATCAGCCAGAGTGAGGACATCAGGGAAAGTCTCAGGAGGTAACGCCTCAAGCGTTGGGCCAAATTAGCCCTAGAAACAAGACCACTCTACGACCTGCACTAACAAGGTTTTAAAGTTAGCCTCAAAAGGATCAAACATTTAAACTAACAACAGTGTCCCAGAACAAAGTCCTACAATATTCAAAGAAATACAATATCCAACTCCCAAAAATGTAAATTCACAACATTTAGTATAAAACCAAACAAGACCAGACAGGCAAATCAGCAGAAAAATATGGCCCATAACCAGAAGAAATGATGAAACAATGAAAACAGACCCGGAAATGACACAGATGATAGAATTAGCAAATAATTCTTATGTTAGCTAACAATGTTAAACTAGCTTTCATAAACATACCCTGTATGTTCAAATAGGTATAAGAAAACACGAGGACAAGGAGGAAAGAAAAGGAATCTATTAAAAAAATAAATAAATTGAACTTCTAGAAGATGAAAAATATAATCATCTTAGGTGAAAAACACTTTGGAATAGAAAAAGGGCTTTACAGTAGGTAAAAAATACGGAAATCTGAATGAAGTATGGACTTTATTTAATAATGTGTCATATAGGTTCATTACTTGTGAAAAATGTTCCAGACTAATGTAAAATGTTAATAATAGGGGAAATCGAATGCTGGGTATATAGGAATTCCCTGTACTATCTTCTCAATTTTTCTGTATATCTAAAACTGTTCTAAAATAAAAATTTTATTTAAAAAAAATCAAGCCACAGCCTGGGAGAAAAATTTTACA